GCTGACGTTTCGGGTCGAGACCCGAAACGTCAGCTTTCCTGCTCCTCTGATGCTGCTTGGCCTGCTGTGTTCATCCAGCTCTACACCTTGTTAACTCTGTAGGATGAAGCTTTTTTTTAAAAAAAAGTTTACATTCTATCAGTAGTTCACTGATTTTACTTGTATGTGTCAGTGAGAAATCAAGATCAGGAAGGCCCTAGGGTTTGCCCTGCTTAATACTAACTGATGAGTCCAGCTCTGGTAGATGATGAGTGAAAGTTCGATGAAACCTCAGTAATTCTCTCACCACTTGTCAGCAAGAAGGACTCGCAGCACAAAATTGTTCTGAATTAGGCACTAAATGGTAGTAGTATCCCTTAAATACCAAAAAGGGAAATGGAAAGTCATGCTGCCTTTGTAATGAGTGTTTAGTGCTGAGGCTCACCAAGCTGTAGGTAATTAAACCATAACATAACAAGGAGTCTTTGCTAGTTTCTCAACTAATAACTAACATTACTTTTTTTTAAAAAATACATAAAAGGCTTAAGAGACTGAATGGCCTTCTCCTGATCCTATTTTTTTTTTGTTTCTTTACATGATTCAAGATTATTGCTGCCAGGATGGAATAGATGATTTTTGAAAGATGCCCTTTCTTTACAGGATTCCATATTATACTCTTTATTTTACTTACAGGGATTAAGTTCAGGATTTCACCATGTCTGAACCAATAACACTGAATGTAGGGGGAATGTTATACACCACTTCCCTCATGACTTTAACTCACTATCCAGAATCGATGCTTGGTTCAATGTTTATTGGGACTCTGCCGACCAGTAAGGATCAGCAAGGAAACTACTTCATAGACAGAGATGGAAAAATGTTTCGACACATCCTTAATTTCCTTCGAACATCGCACTTGGACCTTCCAGCTGATTTCCGAGAGCTGGATCTTCTAAGCAGAGAAGCTGATTTTTTCCAGATCCAACCTCTGCTGCAGGCTTTGCAGACCATCAAGTCCCCAGTTACTCAAATAAAAAACAATGCAATGCTTAACATCTTTCATGACTCACAGTCACATAATGTTGGCTCCTATACTGTAAAACTTGTTAATGTTCAAGTATTTTCTACATCTTGTGCCTTATTGAAGCTTCTCAATTCCAAATTCTACTATATCTTCAAAGGTGACAATTTATCTGTCGACAGTGATCTGGAAGATTTGAAATTCATTCCACTAGAATGGGTTCAAAGTGGCAGAACTAGCATAGAAAGACAGTATGTAATGGAGAATTGGAAAAGCCTGTATGCTTCACCATCTCATCGGCAAATCCAAAGTCTGGATATGTTTGTCCAACAAGTCATAAAAATAGCAGTCAATGGTGGATTCTTCCTTAATTCTGTTCCTTCTGTTTCATTTGACCCAATTATCCTGCATTTTACACAGGAACAATAATACAGAAAGCAAATTGATGTGAGTTCCCAATCTTTTGAGCTTAAAGAAATTAACAGTCTTTCCCTTGTTTCTTATATAAATCTTGATATATAATGTGCAGAATCATGAATATTAATCCTGTTTGTTGAATTCATTTACCATTATAGTTGAATTTGGCTGTTGGGATAAAACTTGTTGTTAGCTAGATTCCCTTGAAGTACATTTAATTTTAAATAAAATCATGTAATGATACATTTCTGACAGTGACTGAACACCGCACAGTCTTATTTCTTCAGGACAGTGTATCTTCAACCATGGATTAATCATTGATTACTTTATGACTTCTTTGTCTGGGAGTCACCACTGAAACTCATTTATACTCGTGCCTATCCTGGCAACTCATTCCCTACATTTGTTTTACTAAATAAGTCTGCTAGTTGTTCAGTTATGCCTCAGAACTGTTTTGGGATGTTTCCTATGTTAAAGACTTTATAGGAATCAAGGACAAAATATTTTTGTTTTGTTGAGAGCTCCTCTGGAGATTTCCTTAATTTTTGGTGGTCACTTTTCTATTCTCATGAACTCATTCATTAGGTTATGACATTGAGTAGCAACAATACCTTCTATATTTGTGTTAATATATGGGTATGTGGACGCTCACAAAAGTAGAAGTAGAAGAATCCACCAATATCCTCAATAATTAGCAACATTCCACTAAACTTAAAAGCCACAAACCACAAGGACAAAACTGATTTCCTAGATTCCACTGTTATTAAATTACAAGACAACAGGATTAAGTTAGGAACAAAAGATTTTTTTAAAAACTGATGAATTTCTACGCATAAAAATCCATCACTTTAAACACATCTTCCACAGAATGGTGAAGACCTAGCTAATATGTTTCCATTGCATGTGCACAAAACTGGAACATTTTAACCAAGCAGTTACAAACCTATTCACTGCATCTTGGATCTCAATCTCTGATTTAAATTTAACAATTTTCACAGCTTTCATTACAGTAGGATCTACTCCATTTTTCCCAAGTATAATTTATGCAAGGACTCTTACCAATTTTTATAGATGCACCACAGAAAGTATTCTATCTGGATGCATCACAGCATAGCATGGCAACTGCTTTTCCCAAGACTGCAAGAAACTGCAGACAGCCATGAACACACCCAGTCCATCATGCAAACCAGCCTTCCATCCACTGACTCCATCTATACTTCCTGCTGCCTCAGGAGAGCAAGCAATGTAATCAAAGACCGCTTCGACCCCAGTTATATTCTCTACTACCCTCTTCCACTGGCAAAGGATATAAAACTTTGAATACACGTATGAATAGATTCAAGAACAGCTTCTTCCCTGTTGTCAGACTTTTGAATGGACCCCTCAAATGTGAACGTTGATCGATCTCTCTCTCTGCCGCTGTAAAACTGTATTCTGCACTTTGTATGCTACAATCTGCCTATACAAACCGACACTTTTCACTGTATTTCGGTACATGTGACAACAATAAATCAACATCCTTTTATGCAGTCTTAGTAACAGTATATTAATTTGCAAGATATTTGTTACCTTACTGATTTAATATTTTCTTAGATCCATTAATTGAATAGTCCTTTGTTTACAGGTTCAAAACCCCTTTACAGCCTCATTCTCTTCACTGTTCACTGTCTCTCCTCACACCCGTTTGCAACTCCACTTTCAACCATGCACGTTTGCAACCTCTTGCTCTCCCCTACCCACAGCTTTCTTCTCTCCATACCTCTCACATTGTAGCCTCTATTCCAGACTTCTTGCAGCTTTCTCCTCCCTCCACCCCATGCCATCTTCTCCCTTCTGAAACCCTAGCAGCTAATTCCTGCTCCTCTGATGCTGATGCTGATGCTGCCTGGCATGCTGTGCTCCTCCAGCTCCACACTGTGTTATCTCCTCATTCCCAACCTCCTCTGGCAGATTTCCCCAGCCTGGACCTAGCGAAGTCTATATTCATAGGGTTATAGTCATAATCTTGATTTTCCTTGTAAATTTTTAGACCAAATGATTTTAAAAAGTTCTACTAAAAGAAATGGCACAGCTCAGTGGGTATCTGCACCACATAGTCTGGTATTAAACCACAGATTCTGTGGCAAGTTAGATGATGTCAGCCAGAAAATCAGTAGGGAAATTTTCAGCAGAAGGGTCTAGACCCGAAACGTCAGCTTTCCTGACCCTCTGATGCTGCTTAGCCAGCTGTGTTCATCCAGCCCTACACCTTGTTATCTTCGGGAAACCACTGATGGTTCACTTAGTTGGTCAGCAGATTGGGACAGGAAATATAAAAAACCTGTATCAGCTTTGGCTTGGTTGGTACTCAGCTCTGAGTCAGAATGTTCTGAATTCAAGTCCTGCTTCATAAACTGAGCACAAAAATCAAGGCTGACACTCTAACACATACTGAAGGAGTCTTTGTATTGTCTGAGGTGCAATCTTTCAGGTAAGACATTAAAATGAGGTCCCACCTGCCTTACAACAGAAAAGATCCCATGTAACAGGGAGAAACAAATAAAAATGATAATACTTGAAACATAGCAGTCATTCCAGAGCTTCATTTTAAGGTTTACAAAGCAAGTTGGGCCAGTATGTGTCATTCACAAGTTTTATTGAATCATTTCGGCAATGGCTCTATTTCAAAGGAGTGTGGGAGAAAAGGGTAAGGACATGTACTTTTCGACAACTGTTGCTGTAGGATTGAGCAAAAATCCATATCATTTAAAATGCTGAACCAAAACCCTGAATTTTTCAAAACTTTTAAAAGGGGTGGCAGCTGGGCTGAGCTCTAGGAAAAATACACAATAACAGAGCTGGCCATCTGGAACCATTGTTCAACCCAAAAATACATTTCACAACTCGGCCCTAAGAGAACAAACAACCAGACCTAACACACTAGACTGGAACTAACTTTTACACCTGGGGCTATATAATACAGGCATCTGAAAATCTATACAATTACCATTCAACTTTCATTATTCATTCAATAGTCATTCACAGAGATATCGGGCCTTCAACTTCAATCAAAGTACATCCACACATACTCTTAACTGTCAGGAAGCCAACTGACCTCAAAGTGAACACCACGAACACAATGGCAAGTGCAGATTTGGCATGAAGATATCAGGCCTGTAGATATCAGGCCTGTAATTAGTATAACTGCAGGCCCCGATCTCACTGGAAAGAGCTACTGCTCCCAAGAGCTATCCCCACAGCTACCTCTCGAACAGGGATCCCAACAGCAATTCCGAAACCTATCGACACAGGCCTGTTCCACACCAGGGGAACCAACAGCAACCAACCACAACCAGCAGATCTGAGAACTGACAACCTCCAAAAACCACCAACCCAACTGACACTAGGAGGCCTCAGACAGATCCTGCGATGAAAACCAGCCCGCAAAACCACCAAAAAGTAAGGGAAACCAAGCATTCATCCGATAAATTGAATACACATTCCACTGCATCAACGGACTCAACCCAGCCTGAAGGCCTACAATAGTCCATAGATTTCATGCAGTCACTGGGTTTGGCAAGCAGGCATGGTCATCCCTACTTCAAAATCAGGAATTTTCCACAGTGGTGAGCTTAAACTCCTGAGACTCCAAAGTTTCCAACCTAGCCAGCAGGGAGGGGAAGGCGGGTGGTGACAGTGCAGGAACCCCAAGGGTAGGAAGTCTGATTAAAGTTTTCTGTGATTAAAACTACTGTTTAACTTATAATGGTGTTTAACCTGCGTTTAATTTAATATGTATTTAATTACTGTCCTCTGTATAGTTTGCGTCAATTTCACTGTTTATTACATTTGCCTTTATTTCTTGTGTTATACTTACCTTTTGTATTTAAATACGTAGTGATTCTTTTGCCCTGAAACACCTGTCTACTGCTTTCTTCATTCCACATTCCTAAATGAATCTAGTGTCAGAACCAGGGATCTGGGAGTGATTAGAACCGCCTGAAAATCAGCAAATTACTGATCGCAAACCAGAACCCTACATTGCTCACTAACCAACTGTTGTCACTGCTATGAGACACAGAATCAAGTCTTCAGGCCAGCACAGGCAAATCATCAGCCCTAACCCACCACCCTTTTATTTCACTGGGATTGTAAGACAATTTATACAGCATTTAAAAGAAACTTTTAAAAATCTTGATGGAATATTCCGTCAATGTCATTTCCGAGAGAGGAAAAAGACAGGTTGCCATCAACTTGTTAACTACAATGAAATGGAGATTGAAAAGCTATTTCAGTTTCTCCTCACTCACTCAATGAGTAGCTTTGCTGCAGGAGTTGCTGCCTGAGTTTAAATAAAGTTGGGTGAAACGGCAATGGCGGCGCTCAGTGAGAGGAGCTGGAGCTGGAGCTGGATGGTGCCGCTTGTTTTTGGTGTGACCCTGTTAAAGTGTTTGCTTATCCCTGCTTAGTAAGAGCTGCCCCAGATTAGGGGCTTAATTATGAAACTCTTTCTTTGTGTAAAAAAAAGTGTTTCCCCGCTGCAAGGACGGTTCGTGGTGTGAGGAGGGGCCTAGAGGTGCAGCTGCTGCGGTTTAAAGGCGAATATTCTGTTGCTTTCTTTTTTGAAAAAGCGAGGCTTCGATAAATCTCACTGAAATCAAAGGCACACGCTTTTAAGAATTATATTCTGACGTTAAAACAAAATGTTAGAAGGATGGACATTCGTGCAACAACAACGTCGTCATTCAATCTGTTGTTTATTTTTCGAGTTCTTTTTCCCCCACTCCTGCAGCTTTTAATTGTTGGGATGTTGTAAATTGGGTTAGAAATAAGACAGTAATACGATCTTTCGCTAGGGGGTTTTGTGGTACAATGGTAGTGTCCCTATCTCTGAGCCAGGTGACCTGTGTTCAAGTCCCACCTATTCCAGAGGTAGAAAATATCTGCGGTTGTTTCCTGCATTGATTAAGATTATTTTCTTTCTTCTGTAGCTTATAGTCAATTGTAGTCATTGCCAGTGCTGAAGAAGACCACCCAGACTAGTTATATCCAGCCAGGAAGACCTTTTTGGGTTAAACTGCAGGTCATTTGTTATCTGTCAGAGTAGCACACTGCTAGCTACATTTACCTAGTGATCACCGTGGTGTAATGAAAGGTTGCACCTTTGAACCAAATTGAGTAGATCTTACTCTACATCAAGAGTTGAAATAGCTGTAACTGTAATTTGTTTATAATGCATATAATAATGTTGAAATGTAATTTGAGTATTTTCAGTTTTTCCTTAAGCCTTTCTTTAATAGCAGCATGAGTCACCCTTGAGCCATCATGGCTAATCTTTGATGTCACTACATATGCCTGCTTTTTTTCCTATAATACCTTTTTGGTATATTCATTTTCAGATCCAAAATGAGTAATTGATCAAACTACCAAAGAGAGTTCCAAACTTTTATAACCCCTTCCATGTAGACTTATTTCCCAATTTCCCTCCTAAAAAGCCTAGATCTAATTTTTAATCTAAGTCCTCTCATGCTAGATTTCTCATTGATTAAGATTATTTCCTTTCTTCCGTAAATTGTAGTCCTTGCTGAGGCTGTGAAAGAGTGTAGTCTTATCATTGAAGAAGACCACCCAAACTAGTTATATCCAGCCAGGAAGACCTTTCTGGTGCAAACTGCACATCAGAACTGCCCATTTGCTGTTTATCTGTCAGAGTAGCATACTACCAACTACATTTACCATTTCTCATTCAACAGAATTAGTTTTCTAACTGTCTCCTTCATCAGTTTCCTCTTAATGTCTTGATAACTTTGATTACAACAATATCTCTTCACAATTTAACCCTTGATGCCCAAATCTCCACATTCCTTTCAGGCTTGCGCTTAGCATAAGTTTTCTAGTGTGGTGCTCAGAACTAAGTACAGTACCCCTGGTGTTAGTTTGTACAACCGTAGCATGGCATCTAACTCCTATTCTCATCCTCTAGACCTAAAGGATCCTGTTTTTAATGTTTTTTAATGCCTGTACATGACACTTTACTGATTTATTCATATCAACTTCTAAATCTCTTTGGACCACAGTTTCTGACTTTTCACCATTTGAAAAGCTCTCTGAACTATCCTTTCTTTTGGATAAAAGACAATAACCTTGTACTTGTTAGTATCAAAATCCATTTACTGCAGTTTTATCCATTTACTTGCCTTTCTTAAAAAGCAGAATAACATGTTTTTTAATATCTTGAGGAAAGTTCCTGAGTCAATAACTTTACAAGTTGCGATAGTTCGTAATGTTCTCACTTGATTCTTTAAAATCCTGAACTGAAAACCATCTGATCCTGGGATTTCGCATTCTTTAATGCTGTCATTTTCATAATAACTGTTAATATTAATTATGGCTAGTTACCATTCTGATTGTTTACCATTGAGCAGAAACTGAACTGGATCAGCCATATAAATACTGTGGATACAAGAGCAGATCAGAGAGTAGGAATTCTGCAGCAAGTAACTCCTCACTGACTGTCCACAATCAACAAGACACAAGTGCTGAGTTTTATGGAATACTGTCTACTTGCCTGGATAAATGCAGCTGCAACAACACTTGAGAAGCTTGACACCATCCAGGACAAAGCAGTTCACTTGATTAGCAACCAACCTATCTGTCACCTTCAACATTCACTTCCTTACTGTTGACATACAATGGCAGCAGTGTGTACCGTCCATAAAATTTACTGCAGAATCTCCTGAATGCTCATTTGACAGCTCCTTCCCAATCTGTGCCCTCTAGAATTTATAATTCATGGCGTGCAGTCTAATTGGGATAAGTGGGTAAAAGACTTTGAAGCGTTTGATTAGCCATGATCGCATTGAATGGTGGGGAGCTGAATGGCCTACTCTGGTTGCTATGATTCCAATTTAATTGATGTCAGTGTTCTGCAGTAGTAATGACTATTAAGTAATAACAACTGATTAGGTATAGTTATAATTTTAGCTGTTGTGTTTCAGAAGTTTACATCTATATCCATGACGTGTACAGCTGTTATTTGATTATTTCATTTGCAGTCATTCAACAGACTTTGAAGTCCACAGAAACTGGCTGGCAATAACTCACAGTTTACCTATTTCAAAGTGGTATTATGAAGTAAGTCTTTTTGATTTATGGGTAGTGTTTATTAATTTTAAAGTGTAAAGGTGCCCTGCGTCAAATGATAATTTGGCTATTTCTGCCATGCCCATGTGATGTGGATGAGAAAGGCTATTCAGCCCATTTTATTTGATTCATGAGGACGATCTATATTCCCATTCATCATAATATCGAATTGTTTATTTAATGTTTCCAGACATTTTAGTTCTCCAGAATTTTTTTCCATGAACTAAGTACTTTTATGTGAAAGCTGCAATCCTAAGTATGCCTGTGCCCTCTATATTACCACCATGATTTAACTTGATGCACTGTGCTGAATTTATCATTCCCAGCCTGTCTGCTAACTTAAACGCTTCTTTGAAGTCTTCTTCCTTTGCCAGGATGAAATGCAAATTGAAATTTCTTAATGATTTCTTTGTGACTCAGTCCTATAATGTTAACGGTCGATCTTTATCATCCCAGTAAACCATCTGCAGATTTTATTGTCTGATTTATGGCTGAATAATGAATCTGATCACACCACTCGTGATATAGTTAAAGCAAGGCGTACTACCATTTTACCAGTTGATTAGGTAAAGCATGGAATGTTTTAAAACCAAAACAGAAAAATAGGAGCATGAGTTGGCCATTTGGCCTTTTGAACCTACTCCACCATTCATTATGATTACAGCTGATCAACAATAGCCTGTTCCTGCTTTGCTCCAATATCGTTTGATCTCTTTCAACTCAAGCGATACATCCAACTCCGTCTTGAAATCATGCAGTGTTTTGGCCTTGACTGCTTTCTGTCAAATTCCGCAGGCTGATCACTCTCTTGATGAAGAAATTTCTGCTCATCTCAATCCTAAATGGTTTTCCCTGTATCCTTAGATTGTGACCCCTGGTTTTGGACTTCCCCACCATCAGCAGTATCGTTCCTGCATCTACTCTGCTAATGCATAAATATGGCTGGTTCCTTGGTGTTCAAATCAGGTTTTCAATTGCAGCAGGATTAGAGAGCACTAAATGCCACTGTTAGTCAGTCTGCTTATTAAAACAATGCATATGTCCTTGATCTTATAAAACTTCGATCTTAAAATTCTTAATAATTAAGTAGAAAAATTTACATCAATTTAGGAAGCATCAAACTTGAGTTGGAACGTAGAGGTTTCTCTACCATAAAAATGTCACTTCTGTGACTCTAATGGCAGGACGAAGTCATTACAATATATCAATCTACCTGCATAAATTTATTTTCATTTTAAATGTGAGACGTAGGAATTTAACATTGGCATCTTTGAGCTGTAAGACTTTTTAATATATTAAATGGATAGTGGAAAATCCAAGTAATATAAAAAAGACCTTAAAATGGAGACTGCACAACTTTTCTTTGTCCTGATCCAGTTATCCCTTGTCCTTTAAACCTCCTTCATTCGTCGTAAAGTTGGTTGACACCCCTTGAGCAAGTGGGAAATTGTCAGGTGAATACAAACAGATCTTCCATTATCCTAGATTTCAAAAATAATGGCACATACATCAATTTCTCGTGTCATTCTACAATAGGTTTACTCTATTCTTGATGAAAGAAAAGATCTGATTATATGTTTAAAAATTGCCTACGGATCCAGCATAAAACATACTTGTATTTGCCCATACATTGTTTTGGCTATTTCATAAATGAATTGTAATAAAACCTGTCTGCTTTGTTAACTCCCTGCAGAAACCTTTACGTCAGTAATTATTTCTGATGAATCTGTGGTATAAGGTGGATGAAAAGTTGAAAAGAGGTTAAATTCAAGTGAGCAAGGAAAGAGCAGTGAAGCAGAAATCAATAACCAAACTCTTCAGAGTACAATGCACACAGTGGGTTAAAATTTTAACCTGTACCTGCTTTATCATGTTATAAATTTGTATGCTATCATTTATGGTATTAGCCATTAGCAATAATAATCTAACCAAAATCTACTAAAAGTTGTTATTGGTACATTATTAATACAAGTTAATATCTTGTCGTTGATCCAAAATGCTGACTTGTAATTACAAATTATGAAGTGAAATATAACATTTTTTTTTTCCCTTCTCTCTTTTACTCTGTACCTAGGCAACTTCACAGTGGACTTTGGACTATCCACCATTTTTTGCATGGTTTGAATACCTACTGTCTCTCATTGCACAATATTTTGACAAGGAAATGTTGGTCATCCAGAACCTTAATTATGCCAGTGATGCAACAATCCTATTTCAGCGACTTTCAGTCATCATCATGGATATAGTATTTATTTATGGAGTACTGGAGTATGTCTTAATATTTATGTGTTAATGTTAAAAATACAGTGTTCTTTGTTTATTGTTTGACAAGCATAACAAGTTGAAAGATTAAACATCAGAAATTATAAAATAATTGTAAAACCACCCATTCTGAGAAATGAAAGATCACTAAATGTTAAAGTATTGATTTTGAAAAATAGTATTTTCCCATCCTGTGCTGAAGTGCTAACTCTTTTGGATTTATATTTACTAGAACAACTCTGATACCAGGCCCCAAATGGACATTATCTTCTATGTCTGTAATCTGTTCAACTATGAAAAGTGTTTCTTAAACATAGTGAAGCTCAATGATGTCCTCATCGATTGTCCACATGTGCACTTTCCAGATCAACCCAGTAATGCTATATCCAATGGTACTGCCCTGTCCAAGCTGAAATCGTCTAACTCACCCAGATAAGATTGAGCTGTGGGGCTGTTATGTGGCTCAGTATCACACTGGGCAATGTATTAATCATTAAGCTATTGGAGGAATTCCACTTTAACTAGTTGTAATCAAATCATGTCAACCAGCGGGGTGACTGCATAGTTTTCACACAAAGGTTAAGGTCAGACTCAAATAATACATTGCAACTCATTTATTTTACCTCAGTAAGGAGTGCTTTGCCTGCATTTGGCGGGTGTTTTGACAGAAAGAGCAAACAGGATAAAATTGTGGCTCCTGGTGCCTGGTCAAAGCTAACAGGAAATGCGCAATTCACGTTGATTTCTTTGCTATAGGAATGTGGGTGAGGATAATGCATTATAAAAAAGACTAATTAGCATCCATTGTTTTAAGTACTATTTAATAATAATCTAAGATTTTAGAGTAGATTTGTAGCTTGGGTTGTGGATCTTGTTCTTGGTTGATTAATAATTTACCAGTCAGTTATTATATTATAGAGGGAATTTGGAGGAGTGTCCAGGTATTTTTCATGTTGCATAGGTTTCACATATCCTGCAGCTAGCTAAAGGATATAGTTGTTAGGAGATTGAGAACTGATCAACACCCCCCTTATCTGAGAATGGTGCATGATCATAGAGACGTAAGCAGAAAAGTAGACCAATACCACATACGTTAATTGTTATGAATTCTCACTTAAAATATATCAAGTATTAATAAAAGTTTCTTTTAACAGCGTGATGTTTAAATGTTTGGAAAGTCATTACATTGTTGTCAGTGGAATTAACTTTGTGTTTAAAAGTACAGAATCAAAAGTGATTGATTGATTGTCATTTTAGCAAGCAACCCAAAACCAAAGCCTTCTATCTAAGTGATTTGTAGCATTTCTGATTGCAGCCAGAAAGTCTTTTAATTTAGTATAAAGAACATCAGCAGCTTACAGTGGCTGATGATTAATATTGCAAGAAACTTTTAATTTAGATATGTTACATTTAGAATGTACTTTTATGATACCTTTGCAGTAGCTGCAGCAACATAATTTTCAAAGGAAAATCCCTCATTTGCAATTTGTTTCCATCAGTTTTGCTGTCTACACAGTAACTCCAATTATAATGCAATTCAACCCATGACCTCAAAATGAAAGGTGTGTGTGTGTGTGTGTGAACGCACTACATTATCTCCCTTTCAGGGTAGAAAAAAAGTTGTATGACCAATAAGTATATTTTTATTTGCCCTCTTTTTAAGGTGTTGTAAGTGTGTCAATAGAAGACAGGAATCAAAGGAAATAATGGAGAGACCAGCATTTATACTTGCAGTGCTGTTACTTTGGAACTTTGGATTATTGATTGTTGATCGTATCCTTGCATTATAAAGTACATCTTTTAAAACAACTATTGGGTAACATTTGATAGATTCTAATGCCTTAAGTTGGCTTCATTTTCTTTGCTTCAGCAAATAATCATTGTTGTTCCCATCTAGTTAAGTTAGTGACTATTACAGGCTTCCACTTTTATGTTTAATTTTAATCTATTCTATAATAGTAGAAGCTGTGGGCAAACATTGCTGTGAAAATACCATTTTAAATTATTACTGGCAAATCATTGGGTTGTGATGGTAATTTTTTTTTAAACATATGGAGGACTTTATTTGTCTTTTATTTTTCTGACAATTTTGAAATCTTTTATTGCTTGAGAAAAGGTGTGTCCATTGCTAACTTAGTTTTGAATATTCTTTTATGGTATCTTGCAGTGCTGTGTGGTGCCTTGGAATGATAGAATGTTACAACTCGTCCAGAATTCCAGATAAGTGATCAGAAATAACTTTAGAAAGTGCTACAGGATCAAAGTTTAGGGGGAGATTCACTCTTAAGTGTTGATGGAGGCCAGAGAATAGATTTCCTTTCTCAGATTTGTGTGGTATGTGATGTGGGGAGAATTGAGAAAGAAATGCTGCCTTTATTTTTGTTTAATTCATGTATATGTTTTTTCTCTTAACTCTCACCCATACACACAAAATATGATTCCTTAACTCAAACTCAGATATTCACTTCCAATACAATGGCTTCTTATTTGGTGTCATGCTTCTTTCCATTGCAAGAATGTTTCAGGTGACTTGAGAAATTCGGTATAATTCCACAGTGCTTACTCGTGGTATATATTAATGATTGAAAAGTGAACAGATTTAGAAATAACCAAAAAACAATCAGTAACACAATGCTTGAAATACTTGATTTTATTACAGGAAAGGCATTTGGAAAGTGCGCTACTCTTTGCAATCCTGATGAACTTCAAGCACATTTTTCTTTATGTGGCTCCTGCCTATGGTATTTACCTACTACGTTCATACTGCTTCACTGAGAACAAGCTAGGTACTTAAATTTTTTTTTAACCAATTTGAGATGAGATATAACTTTCTTTTATTCTTTAAAGTACTTGCATTCACAAGTAAAACAGAGTGCAATTACAGAGATTGGTGCTAAGGTAAGCTGAAAAGGGAGAAAAGAAAAAGTAACAAGATACTGGAGTAGAAAATTACATTAATCAGATGTGCCCTTTATGAAATGATCACAAGATAATTACAGATGGGGAAAGGCCAAATTAAATTAATTCAGCCAAAACAATCCCAAAATTCCTGTATTGCAGTATCCAGTGTTTTCACCACTTGGTGTCTTGCAAGGGCATCATGGTGATTTGGTATAACTGAGTAATTTAGTCGCCGACTTCAGAGAGGAATTTATTATAATTTAGTAACAGAACGGTAAAAGAAGTCATGTTTCTGATACCACAATGTGGATTCAAAATACGAATGTTTAGTTTCTGATGAAATTGTATTCCTATGGTTTTTATTAAATCATTACACTTGTTTATGCAAAGGTGTTTTGCCTTCTAGCATTTCCATTCATTTATTCCTGTGCTTTTATCTTTTTGTAAAGAAGAACTTTAACATGCTGACCAATTCAAGAAAATTACACTGTCTTTATCTCTGTGTCTCTGAGGCAGCCTGGCTTTGCTTGATTCCAGCTCATATACTAAGTATAACGTTGCAACCTAGTTTAAGGAGTACAACATAGAAAATCAGCACATTATATGTTTCCTCAAATATATTACACTAATTCTCCCTTCAATGTTGTGAATACCTCAACTTCAGTGGATACAGTTTAAAGTGGAGACCCTTCTAATATGTGTGTAAAAATAGTTTTCTCCTCCATCTTAGTTTTAACTTTATTACCCTTTCATGAATTTACTTGCCAATAATATTTTTTCTGACTCAATATTAGGGTTAATAAAAATAGGCATTTGATGTTCTTTTGCTGATCTCTTGAATTTTTTTTGTTTTGTTAAGGATTAATCATTAAACTTTTTCAATTGTTAATTTAGCTGTCTCTCATGCAATTATGGCAACACATTCAAATTGACAACCCCAATGTCTCCAATCTATGTTTAAATGAACATCTTTGTTCTACCTATTTCACATGATTTTAAGAACAAATATGTTTGGACCCATCTAGCTTTTGAAAGTGGTCTCGATTGTGAGGATTACCTTTTGGAATTTCAATATACCTCATACTATTTGTTGTCATTGCCTAGCTTGTAATTATTGAAACATTTTCTTTCACAATATCCTAAACTCATCAATTGTCAATATTGTTTCTTTTGTTTATTTTTAAGGTGGATCTATCCAGTGGAAGAGTTTCAGCTGTTCCCGTCTTTTTGCCTTGGGGTTTATAGTCTTCTCTGTTTTTGCTATCTCCTTTGGGCCCTTCATATCCATGGTAAAGATGAGCTTAAATTAATTTAAAACACTTTATTCTGCACTTCCTATTTTACTGCATTTGAGATGTATATTTGATGTTCTTTGACACCCATTCTGCACATTTTATTACTATTGTGGAGAATTGCGCAGTTCTGCTTTAATACTAGAAGACATCAGTATTAAACTTATTATCATACCTGTAATATGTTCCATGCAAATATCGTCCCAAGTGTGGAATGTATACTTGATGTTTTGGGGGATATCTGGAGTAATTCATAAAGGGTTGCTGAAAATATTTACAAGGATATCACAATTTAAATGCTGTATATGGGGGCAAAATTTAATTTGGCCTTGAAGGCTATATATAGGTTAAGAAACCATAAATAAGTTGAGGAATGATACTAAATTGAGTATTTGGACAAACAAAAGAGAGTACAGTAAGGGATTCAATTTCATGGATGAAGTTTACCAGCTACTGCATGTGGTAGGTACAAGAAGTGCTTATTTTGGCACTCTACAACACTATCTCCAAAGGCAGCAGTGCTTTCTAAACAGAAAGAGGCAGCAATCATGTTAAAGGCTGTTTGCATTATTTACAGTATTTAGGTACAGAAATAGTAGAAGGCACCATCCTTCGAGCAACTTAGTCAGGTACTATTACCTAATAACTTTATGAAGAAGATGGATGACCCAAAACATTTGCCGTAAAGAGTTATTTGTCAAGTCCCTTCAAACTTACTCCTCCACAGATGCTGCCAGACCTGCTGAGCTTTTCCAGCAACTTTGTTTTTGTTCCTTCAAATTTACTGTTTGCCTAGTCCAACCTAATACATTGTTACAGCTCCTATGTACTGTTGCTTCAGGGGGGCACTCGTTTATCCTGAAAACCTTTTCATGTTGACATCCTCCAAGCACTGATGACACAATCAGCCAGAAGTGGTAGCTTCATAATAGCTTCTGAATGAGACAATGCGTGATGTTGGCAACCATTGTAATGACAATATTTCCTCCCACCTATCCCCTCCTCCCATCTCAAGCCCCACCCCCATCTCCTACCTACTAACCTCATCCCGCCCCCTTGACCTGTCCGTCCTCCCTGAACTGACCTATCTCCTCCCTATCTCCCCACCTACACTCACCTTTACTGGCTCTATCCCCACCTCTGTGACCTGTCTGTCTCCTCTCCACCTATCTTCTCCTAATTCCATCTTCTATCAGCCTCCCCCTCTCTCCCTATTTATTTCAGAACCCCCTTCCCCTCCCCCATTTCTGAAGAAGGGTCTAGGCCCAAAACATCAGCCTTCCTGCTCCTCTGATGCTGCTTGGCCTGCTGTGTTCATCCAGCTCTACACCTTGTTATCTCTTACTTCAGAATAATGGATATTAGTACCAGGATCTTTACTGATATAAATTCAGCTCCCTTACAATTTGTTTTGATCCAATAGTAATCATAGAGTCATACAGCTTGGAAACAGACCCCTCGGTCCAACCAGTCCATGCCAAACATGTTTTCCAAAACAAAATTGGTCCCACCTTCCTGCACCTGGCCCATATCCCTCCAAACCTTTCCTATTCATGTGCTTATCCAAATGTCTTTTAAACGTTGTAATTGGACTGCATCCACCACTTCCTCAGGAAGTTCATTCTACATGCAAACGATCTTCTGTGTGAAAAAACAAAAATTGCCTGTTGTGTCTTTGCTAAATTCCTCTCCTCTCACCTTAAAATTGTGCCCCCTAGTCTTGAAATCCACCATCTTACGGTAAAGACAACTACCATTAACTCTATCTATACCTGTCATTATTTTATAAACTTCCATCAGGTCACCTCTCAACCTCCTATGCTCCATTTTAAAAAAATAGTCCCAGCCTATCCAGCCTTTCTTTTTAACTCAAACCTTCCATACCCGGCAACATCTGGAAAATCTCTTCTGAACCCTCTCGAGCTTGATAATATCCTTCTTACAATAGGGCAACCAGAACTGGACACAGTACTCCAGAAGAGGCCTCACCAATGCCCTGTACAGCCTCAACATGACTTCCTTTACTCAAAGGACTGAGCAATGAAGGCAAGTGTGCCAAACGCCTTTTTTAACCACCCTGTCTATATGTGATGCAAACTTCAAAGAATTATGTACCTGCCCCCGTAGGGCCCTCTGTTCTGCAACACTATCCAAGGCCCAGCCGTTAATTGTATAAGCCCTTGTTTGTTGTACCAAAATGCAGTACTTTGTATTTATCCAGATTGAACTCCATCTGCCATTTTTTTACAGCCCATTAACCCAATTGATCAAGATCCCTTTGTAATCTTAGAAAACCTTGTTCACTGTCTACTATGAAATCAATTTTGATGTTGTCTGCAAACTTACTAACCATGCCTTCTATATTCTCATCCAAATCCTTTATATATATATAAATAACAAACAAAAGAAGATCCAGAACCGATCCCAGTAGAACACCACTGGTCACAGGCCTCCAGTCCAAAAAGCAACCCTCCACCATTATTCTCTATCTCCTGCTGTAAGCCAATTATGTATCCAATTGGCAAGCTCACCCTGAATCCCATGTGACCTAATATTACTAATTAATCTACCATGTGGAACCTTGTCAAAGATTTTACTAAAATCCAAATAAAGAAATTCTACTGCTCTGCCATTATCAATCTTTTTGGTAACTTCCTCAAAAAAACTCAAACAAGTTTGAGACAATTTTCATCACACAAAACTATTCTGACTATCCCTAATCAATTTTTGCCACTCTAAATTTGCATAAATCCTATCTTTTATAATCACCTCCAACAATTTATCCACAACCGAAGTCAGACTCACGGGTCTATAGTTCCACGGTTTCTCCTTACAACTTTTCTTAAACAAAGGTACAACATTAGCCACCCTCCAGTCGTCAGGCACCTCACCCGTAGTAATAGATGATGCA